GGAAGGAAAGATTCTCAGAACTTTTATGATCAAAAACTAGTAAGAAGCCAGTCAAATCAAGAAGCAAACATTCAAAATTAAATTTAGTTCTGATATAATTCCTGTAACAACACAAATGTCTGGAAAATAACACTCCATTAACTAGCTTCCATAACTTATGTGGTCAGATGATGTAAAATTCTATGTCTAGCTCTGTATAACATGCAAGCCTTAATAATGCAGAGAAATCTTACTAACTAAAGAGAAAGCAGATGATGAAATAATTATATTATTTCCTAATCCAGGGATGTCAAACTGCTGGCCTGTTGGCTGGATGCGTCAGGCCGAAACCGCACCCATCCCATTGCCAACAATGGGAAAAAAGTCACGATACATCGCAACAGGGCACGTGATGTTGTGAGTTTGACACCCCTGTGGACCTAATATATAGATTAATCAGCATTATGTGTCCCTAACAACATAGGAATTAATCTTACCATAGGCAAATTAATCTTTGCCTTTCACTCTGATCCATGGAAAATCCCATTGGAGGTTTATTGGAGAGCCATGTGTGATGGTCTTTCCATCCTTATAAACCAACTACTCAGTGTCTTTCCTACAACTTCTTACAAGTATCAGTTGGATAATTTAGTACAGGAGTAAACTGAGAAAATTTGCAAAAAAATTTCTCTCCAGTTGAGAGCATCAAGAATTGGATTTAGACCAGTGGTTCTCAACCTGTGGGTCGGGACCCCATTTGGGGTCGAACGACCATTTCACGGGGGTCGCCAAACAAGGCTGTCTGCCATTTTTTCCCCCTTTTCTTTGGCCACGCCTCTGGCACCCGGTGATGTATAAGTGGTTGGGGGTCACCACAACATAGAGAACTGTATTATGGGGTCGCGGCATTTCAAAGGTTGAGAACCACTGATTTAGACCAACCATTTGGGCTTGACTGCAAAATTACTTTCTATTCATCATGGATCTTATATATATTGTTTTAAACAAATGTGGTACCAATAAAGGAGAATATTTGCAGCTAAGGGTTGAAATGAGGGGTCCTTTGTGCTCTCTGAGCTTGGTTGTTTTCTTGCAGATGTTTCATTACCCAAACTAGTTAACTTCATCAGTGCTAGTCTAACACTGGTGATGTTACCTAGGACACCTCAAACAAACATAGTAGGAACAGATCTCTTCACAATACCAGGGAGACTAGTAATAAATGAAAAGATGGTTCCTTTAACATAAATACTTTCTTCTTTCAAGCAATTGTCAATGGATATTTCTCACATACTATATCTCCAAAGGGACAGGACTAAATTCCCATTATGTAGACCTGACTAAGAATCAACTCCAGAGGAACGGCAAAACTACTTGTATTAAGATTAGCTATAGTAACATAATCTTGCAACACTGATTGTACTTTACCTCTTACCCTCTTATATTCATATTCACTAGGGAGGTACCTGTCATTTTCACATTCCTTCTGCTTGTTCTGAACTTAAGACATATTTTTCCTCTCGTTGTTCTGGTAATGTATATTACCTATCTTTGTCAAAACCAGCTTCTTTACTTTTTCTAGGTCCTAATGTCTGTGGAAGCAATCCCCATGCACTGAAAAGAGAAGCAGCTATAGGTCCATGTGGGGAATTCTTGAGCTAAGGAATGATCAAAGGGATTCCTATCTCTTATCCACCCTTCCCCCTCCAGTTTATTCCTTCAGATCTGCAATCTCTTGAGGCTGGTCTTCAAATCTGCAGTAGCAGTTTGGGATGATAGATATGAAGCTGCTTTCTGACAAATCAGAATGATAAGAAGAGTTATGTAGTTTGACTGCAGGGCATAAATTGCTGGAGAGCTGGAATTATGTTTACATATTTATTGTACCTTGGGATGGGCTAGAGGTTGAATATCTGTCTTCTTCTTGAGATGTGTGCTTTGGTAAGAAGTTATTTTAAGCACTGTCAACACCCGAAAATGAAAATGAACCAAAAGTCACTAAATTTTGAATACTGCTTATTTGCATCTTTATCGCTGTTATCATCTCTTAATAGTATTATTATTAGCACTCCATTTAATGGGCAAATATATCTTGGGGCCCTTAAGAACAGCAGTGTCTGTAGCAAACTATGATGATGCCAAAATAACAACACACTCACAGTGAGGACATAATGTATTTGGATCTTGATCTCTGATTACAGTATTTGCTTGATGAGATCGTCTAATATTTTGTCATTTTGTTGCTGTGTACTAAACTATGATGCAGAAGGAATAGCTTTATAATCAGTACTAGCAAGTCCTTCAAAAACCTTTAGTATCCATCAGGATCACCTCAGAATACAAATGTAACTAATGGTCCTTTAGGAGAAATACTACTTCACTTGGGGATGGGAACAAGAACCAACCAACCAAACAAAAAATCCTGAAAGCTTTATAAGCTTAGAGAGATTGAAAAGTGTGAATGGATGGGCTTTGCCAAATAAATTAAGGGGGGAAAAAGGTTTAAAAGAACAAGATAAAGGAACATGCTGAGAAAATGGTTGCCAAAATGGATTCGGTATACGTTTTTAATGAAGGTGGTTTTTACAAAGATATGATGGAAATGAACAGATGGAAAGAATCTTCCAAGATGGAATCATCTCTCTGTATTATGTCTTACAGAATCCAGGGACACAGTATGCTAACTTTTTTTTATTATTTCCCACAAGGGATTCAATGGAATGGTCAACCATATTAATGAAAAATGCAGCAGCATTTACATTGTGGGATCTGAGAAACTGAAGCACACTGAAAGGAAAAAGTTTTTCAGTTTGATGCACATTGAAAAGAAAAAGTTTTTCAGTTTGATGCAGGCCATTCTATAATAGCAGAATCCAAGACCCTGAATTCAAATCTTAACAGAATAACAGTTGGAAGGGACCTTGGAGGTTTCTAGTCTAACCCCCTGCTCAAGCAAGGAACCCTGTAAAATTTCAGATAAATGATTGTCTAATCACTTTTTAAAAACCTCCAGCAATGGAGCTAAACTATCTTGAAATGAATTACCCTCTTTTGCTTATTTAAGAGGCTTATTTAAAGAGGATCTTTTAGATGCTACTAAAGATTCTTGGATGGCCAAGAATATAATTGGTTTAGTTGGGTGTGTGGATAAAGATGATAGATGGATAGATAGATAGATATCAATTTTGATATTAAAAGTATTTTATAACTTTTAAAGGATTAAGGAATCCTCAGCAAAATAGAAGTATGTACTTTTTAAAATTATTCATACAAAAATAATTTTTATATATAAAATATTATCCAAAGTCAACATTCTATTCCAGGGGTGTCAAACTGCTGGCCCGTGGATCGGATGCATCATAGCGAAACCACACCCACCTCGTTGCTGGCAATGGCAAAAAAGTCACGATACGTCATGACACATCACGTGATGTTGCGAATTTGACATTCCTGTTCTATTCCATATTCCCCATTATTTTTCTAGTCTAGTTTCTACTTGTCTAAATAATAAAGAGTTAACTTTATTTGGAAAGCACATTTCTACAGCCAAGTTCCACAGAGTTTCCTGAACTGTCTCTAAATAATCATTTTCCTTTAGACTCACCCTGTCCATTCAAAATTCTGGGGACATGGCATGTTGAAGATAATGAGAGATTATAGTTCAAGGCAAATCAATACATACATTATGAATAGAGTGAGATTCTAGCATTAAGTACCAGAGCAAATGTAGCCTTTCCTGGATGATAAGTAAATCTATAAATAACTACACAACAATAACAACAATATACAACAATACTACCAACATCAACTTTCTTTCATTCCTGTGATTCAATTTTGGATTTTATTTTATTTTATTTTTGCAAGTGAACCATACAACTGAAACAAGAACCTGGAAGAAGCTAAGCCTAACTAGAATATTGTGACTCTTCTGTTCCTATTGGTCTTTAAGTAGCTGTACATTTATCCAGATAAATATACTAAAGGCTGAAGCCCTCATAGGTATGGTCTGTGTGGGTCAGAGCCCTGGATTAAGTTCAGATAATTCTGCATGCCATCTTCCTCTTAGATTAACTACATTCATATTCACTGGCACAACAGAGTTGGTACAAATAAATGATTTGTTTTAGATCTCTAGTTAAAAGGATTCAGTAGCAGGTGATGGAATTCTTGAGATGTGTTACTGATATCATTAGATAACAATGAGGCTTGAATGGGGCTTGATGAATGAAGAGTGTAACCTGAGAAAAATTAAAGCTGCCATAATCTGGCCTGTAATAGTCTCAACAACCATTAGATGGCAGTAAGAAAACTGACTCTTTACTGCCATCTACTGTCATCTGCCAGTTTCTTATGATCAAGTTGATGGAGAGATACTGTCACATTCAGGAGGAAGGATCAGTGGAATCATTATGTAGACACAAGAAGACAAAGTCCGACTCTCCTTGAATACTGTTGGACCTTCCTTAGTTTTTCTGGTGGCAAACTGCCAGTCTGTGAAGATTGTTGTGAAATATGCTTGAGCAATAAAGTAGCTATTTTATACTCTACATGTGTGAATCTAGTTATTTGCGCCTGACACAAATAGATTAAATTGTCTTTTCTGTTACTTTTTATTTAAAAATGCTAATCCTACCTCTAAGCTTAGGCACTGCATACATCATATGTTATGATGTATGCATACAGTATCTTCCTTTATGTCTGGCTGTATTCTTTGGCTCAGCTGATTCTTTGCTGGTAAACACTTCATTTATTAGATACATTTAAAATAATTCCTACTTGAATAAAATTCCTTGGAAATGTAAAGCATATAAAAGTGACATTGATCCAGAAAACAAATAGTGGCTGAGTATAAGTGAAAAATTATTCTAGGTGTTTTAAATTAATTTTACTACATGTGGTAAGCAAGGATTTTCAATACATTTTAGTTTCAAAGAATGTTTTTCACTATTAAGATTTCACTTCAATTCTAAGAAGCAGGATACATAAAAAGATAAAGAAAGCACGGGGGAATAATCACTTACCTACTGGGTTAGGGTAGCTGATTGCTGAGAAAGGAAACAGAAATAGATTTATAAAAATACCTTTATATTAACACAGTTAAAGATGCAAGAGAAAAAAAACAAGTACCTGGATTTGATCTGATTAAATACCTTTATCCTTTTGTTCCGGGGCAGATTCAAAGTTGAGATTGAATGCAGATAATTTATAATTTAAATCTTGAAAATTGCCCTAACAGAGACTGGCCACAAGAAATTGTGTTCTTTTTGAGAAATAAGAAATGTATTATATTTATTTATTTTTCATCCATCTATCCACTCATCAAGCAGCTCTGGGTTGTTTACACAGAATTGAAAACATTAAGAATCCCATTCTTTCGTTGAACTTGGTGGAAATTAAGATAACTTAAAATAATGGATGCCAATATTTGGGAAAGGATGTACCTTGTATCATGTCATTAGACTACATTTCATATGAAAAGAAGTTTGGGAGAGGATTAAATCCTGTAGGAGAAAGCTCCATATCTAAAGAATTTGATGCCCCTTGTTTTCCCATTAAATTGCTATATAGTATGCTTGCATAAAACCATGTCCAACTTTATATTCCATACTAATAAATCAGTAAAATGTGTGATATTCATTAGACGTTAAAATAAAGGCTCACATATTCCTCTGGATCTTGTACCTTTCAATGATCTATAATCATAATAAAGATTCGATTGTTTCTTTCTAAATTAAATACACTTACCTAGGATGCTATTTGATCATTGATCTATGTACTATTTATTTATTTCCCCCTAAAATGATTCATGGATAAAAATGACCATGTAACCTAATAGTTGGAAGCAAACTGATGACATATTTCATATTAACTGGTGATATATATATATATATATATATAAATCACCTTGATCTCTGAAAGTGTTGAGATATAACTTTTAAAATTCCCCACCAAGAAATTTTGAGATTTGTTGTTCAATATATATGGGAAAGATCAGTAGGAAAAGATTTCTCTGAATAATATCGGAACCACTGAACTATATTTTTCAAAGATCCTGGAACACAGGGGAACTACCAGAGGACTGGAAAAGAGATGATGTAGTTCCCATCCTCAAAAAAGGAAAAAAAATGGATCCAGGAAATTACAGACCTATCAGCATGACCTCAATACCTGGGAAGATAATGCAGGTCTATTAAGACTTTGTCAAAAGAAATACACTCCCCTCAGTTAATACCTGCCTTTGAGGGTTCAAAAACATTCAAATAATGGAGAGAAAGAGACACTCACGTTCTATATAGTGGATGATACGGGTTGCCATGTCCCCCATCCCAAACCGGGTTATGGGTGTCAAACGAAGTTCATAGCTTTGAGGCACCTTCAAGTCAGTCAGGAGGTATTCCTGTAACATGCCCTTTTCCATCTTCCTCACAGAAATGGGTTTAGGAGGCAAGTCCCTGTGATTCAGCTGTGATTCAGAGATATAAGGCGGGACTGAATTAGATAAGAGTAGATAGTTATGGAAACTGAACATTGAAGGAATTTTATGAGCTTTGTTTTCCAAGTATTTCTTCTCTTTGTCAATTATTAGTTGTTATTCAGAGTAAAAGTTGTTGGCATTTGGCACATTCCTGCATATGCTTGATTTAGTGGTAAATTCTAAAATATGGAAAAGGATCTTGAGTCCTCAGAATCTCAGAAGTTCATAAATTTAAAAAGTAGCAATTGTTTTAACTTCTGTAATAATAATAAAAACTCAACCTACTAATGGATTTGGACTTTAGTTTCTATTGAATAGATTATGAGAAGTTTTTAACTAGTATAGTAGGTACTTTCATAAAATTATGGAGCAGATGTTCTATTTCCCACTGTGTTACATGCAAACAAAAAGCTGACTCAATCGTGGTTTGCACAATATTAATGCTTTTTGTCACAAGGACACTTTGCATTGATAAATATACATTTCTCAAAATTGTAGTGTTTTAAGAAAGTCCATATTAATAGCAATAGCAATAGGATTTAGACTTATATAATGCCACATAATGCTTTATAGAACTCTCTGGGTGGTTTATAATGTCAACATATTGCCCTCAATAATCTGGCTCCTCCTTTTGTCACCCTCGGAAGGATGGAAGGCTGAGTCAACTTTGAGCCAGTCAGGACTGAACCTTTGGCTCTGCATTCCAACCACTGTGCCACCAGAGTTCCTCATATTAAGACAACATGGACAATCCCAGCTTTTCTTCTGTATGTAAATGTATATTTATAAGGACTCATCAGCTTTGGGACAAAAGTCTGTGATCTCATTCTTTCTTCCGTCAATTCTCTCCCCATTTTAATTAAATTTCTCTTGAGAGATTTGGACTGAACTGAAGTTGCCACACTGGCTTGGTTCACCTACAACTCTACATCATGCTTTCTTTTAGTTGTGTTTTGTTCTGGAACCCATGGTGCCTTGACATGGTGCTAAGCTAGGATTTACAAATACAATGGCTGAGTTTGCCCATTCAATTCTAAAATCACACGAAATCTTAGCACAGCTTGCCAATCAAGTTTCTGTCCTCAATATTTAGGAAGATAGTAAATGGGCATGCTTCCATTTATCCATTTTTATTTATTAAACTGTGGATAAGAAAAAATCAAAACCACACAATGGCGAGGAAGAGTTCCCTTTACTCTTGCTCCTAAATGCATGTATATCTGTCCTTATATCTGCCTGACTAATAAGGCGAGCCATTTCCTGCCTAGTCCAGATGTCTCTTCTTGGCTCTCCATCTTTGCTGAAAATAAAATGAAGTTGAGGCACTATTTTTTTTTTTTATTAAAGAGTTTTATAAATTTTACAAAAAATAAAAAACAATACAAAAACAAAAAACAACATATACAAATAAAAAACAAACATTACCCAACAAAACCCCCCTTCCCCCGCCCCTACCCAACCCCCCCTTCCCCCCCCAGGACCTCCCAGAGCAGAATATAGGCTTAATTAAAGAAAAAGTTAAAAAAATTTATAAAAAAAGAATATAAAATAGAATATATATATATATATATAAAGTTAAAAATTATGAAAAAACTATATAATATTTTTTATATCAAATTTAAATTGTATGAATTTTATCCATTTATCCCAAACAGCAAGAAATTTCTCTTGCGTTTGTCCCTTTAAGAAAGCCGAAATCTTTGCCATTTCCGCCAAATGAGACACTTTAAGAAACCATTCCTGCAATGTAGGCAAAGATTCCTTCTTCCAATATTGTCCTACTAACAGCCTCGCAGCTGTTATCAAGTTTAACATCAATATAACCTCCTTTGTGTCACAATCAGTAACTATACCTAACAAAAATAATTGTGGAGTAAATTTTACCCTCCTTTTAAAAATTCTCTGGATATTCCACCATATCTTAATCCAGAATGCTTTTATCTCTCTGCACGACCACCAAATATGATAATAAGTAGCATCCATACAACCACATCTCCAACATTTAGGTTGTAAGTCAGGGTACATAAAAGACATTTTTTGTGGATCAAGGTGCCATCTATAAAACATTTTATAAAAATTCTCCCTTAAGTTCTGTGCTTGTGTAAATTTGACATTTCTCACCCAAATAATTTCCCAGGTGTCCAATGGAACTGGCTCACCAAAATTCTGCGCCCATCTAATCATACAATCTTTAATTAGTTCCGTTTCTGAATCCAATTCAACTAAAACCCCATAGATCCTCTTAATGTGGGTTTGTCTTTGATCCTTCACTTGCTTAATAAGATTTTCATCTTCTCTGTAAAAACCCACCTTACAGTCCATCTTCCATCTATCTAATAATTGCCTATATTGGAACCAAGAATAAATAATATTTTCTTGTGGTAACTCTTCCCGTAATTTTAACTGCCAGTTTTGTCCATCCCATTTAAGTAACTGTCTATAGGACACCATATCCATTTTAACCCCTCTTTTTATTCCTTCTATTGCATGCCAAGGTACGGCCCATAATGGTACTTTAAAATCACTTTTGTAATATTTTCTCCAAACCCTAAGTAAAGAAATTCTTAAGATATGAGATTTAAAAGCCCAATCCATTTTTTTATTAAATATTAAATAGGCATGCCACCCAAAAAGTAAATTCCATCCCTCTAAGTGAAGTATATCAGAATTTGTCAAATTTACCCAGTCACTAACTAATGTTAAAACCACCGCATCATAATATAATTTCAAATTCGGCACCTTGAGTCCTCCCCTCTCACGGAAATCTTGCATAATTTTAAATTTAACCCTTGGCTTTTTCCCTGCCCAAATAAATTTATTAAGGCCTTTCTGCCACTCAGTTAAATTGATCTCATTCTTCAAAATCGGTATCATTTGGAACAAAAAGAGAAACTTGGGTAGAATATTCATTTTTATCACTGCAATTCTTCCCATGAGGGATAATTGCAACTTTTCCCAATTCTTCAAGTCTCTCTGTACCCTAACCCACAACCTTTCATAATTATTTTTAAATAATTTTGCATTAGAAACAGATAGCATCACCCCCAAATATTTTACCTTATTAACAATTTCAAAACCCGTCAAGTTAACCAAAGTCTGCTTCTCCCGACTAGTCATATTTTTAGGTAAAATTTTTGTCTTATTAACATTAATCTTAAAACCCGAAACCAAACCATAATTATGAATCAGCTGTAATAATTTTACTACAGAATAAGTAGGTTGCGACAAAGTGATAACCAAGTCATCCGCAAAAGCTCTTAACTTATACTCTTTTTTATTAACTTCTATTCCTTTAATTTCCTGCGACTCTCGAATTTTGATCAACAGTATTTCCAGTGTTAAGACAAACAGCAACGGTGATAATGGGCAGCCCTGTCTAGTACCTTTCTCTATTGTAAAAACCTCTGACAAACCTCCATTAACGATAAGTTATGCCGTTTGTTTTTGATATATTACCATAAGAGCTTGCAATATCTTTTCACCAAAATTCATCTCTTCCATTACTCTTAACATAAAATGCCAATTCAATTGATCAAAAGCTTTTTCAGCATCTAAAAATATCAGCCCTGCAGGAACTTGGTTGTTTTTGTCTAAATATTCTAATAAATTAATAATTTGTCTGACATTATTTTTCATATACCTTCCAGTTATGAACCCAGATCGATCTTTATGCACAAGGTGGTGCACAACCCTCATAAGCCTATTTACTAAGATTTTTACAAATATCTTGTAATCCACATTTAAAAGAGATATAGGCCTATAATTCTTAGGTAAAGTAAGATCTTGATCTTCCTTTGGAATCAATGATATAAAAGCAGTACGCCATGAGGGAGGAATCTCTTGACCCTGTAAAATGCCATTAAAAAGATCACCTAATGGTTGAGTCATCTCCTCCAGTAAGGCTTTATAATAAACAGCTGTTAACCCATCCGTACCCGGTGCTTTCCCTGGTTTCAATTGTTGAATTGCTAGCGAAATTTCCTCCTTAGTAATTAAACCATTAACTTCATGTTTCTGATCCTCTGTCAATTTAGGGAAACTAACCTCACTTAAGTATTTATTTATCTCTAAAATTTGCACATTAGTAGATTTATATAATTTTTGATAATAATCCAAAAAAGATTTCTTAATCAATTCCTTCTGAGAAACTAATTTACCCTTGTAATTTATTTTATCTATTGTTCTCTGTCTCTGTTTCTTTCTCAACTGATAAGCCAACCATCTCCCTGGCTTGTTAGCATTACAAAATGTGTTTTGTTTCATAAACAATAAATTGGTTGCAGCTTGATCTGCTAACAACATATTAAATTGTGTTCTTAACAACTTTAAAGATTCTTTAATACTTTCATCAGAAGGATTTAAAATCAAAGACTTTTCTTTTAATTTAATTTCATCTTCCAATTCTTTACGTTTCTGAATCTGTTTTTGCTTATGACAGTTATTCATTTTTATCAAAATCCCACGCATAAATGCTTTCCCTGCATCCCATACCATTGACATTGAAGTCCCCTTATACATATTCAAAACAAAGTAATCCTTTAAACACTCCTTTAGTTTCTGAACATTTTTTTCTTGTCTAAATAAATTCTCATTCACCCTCCAGGATCTTCTCTCCTCTTTTTCTTGAGTCAACTCCATCCAAACTGGACTATGATCCGTCAAAGACCTAGGGAAAATCTTGACATTCTTTACTCTATTATATAAGTCCGTTGTAATCAAAAAGAAGTCAATTCTTGAGAAGGATTGGTGTCTATCTGAAAAGAAGGTAAAGTCTTTCTCCTCTTGATTACATTCCCGCCAATAGTCCCGTAATTCCCAGTCCTCTTTCATATCAAAAAAGGCTTTAGGTAATTTTGCCTGCTTAAAAAGAAGAGAAGAGCCTTTTTTGTCCCTTTGTACGTCTAAAACACCATTCCAATCCCCCATTAATACCACGGATCTGTGGTCCAGCAGATTTATTTTTTCATGTAAGAGTCTATAAAATTGTT